GTTACATGCCATTTTCCATTTAATTTTTAGTGTCGACTTCTCTGATTCCTGAAAAAAGACTGTTGCTTTTTTTCTTAACAATTTCTTCCCACGATCTCACGAGAATGACTCTTGATAATTTGATCCTGAGGCTATTTTTCCTGGTCCAGACTGGTGCTGGGATCCTGGGGAACACCTTTCTTCTCTCAGCCTACGCCTCCACATTCTGCACTGGCCGGACACTGAGGCCCACACACCTGATCCTCATCAATGTAGCTGTGGCCAACTTCCTGGTCCTTCTCTGCAAGGGGATTCCCCAGATGATACTTATCTGGGGAGCAGCACACATCCTGGGAAACACTGGCTGTAAACTCGTCTATTATATCCACAGAATGGCCCGGGGTCTTTCTCTCTGTACCACTAGTCTCATGAGCAGTTTTCAGGCAATCACCGTCAGCCCGAGAGCTGGTGGGTGGGTGGGGCTCAGAGACAGAGCTTGGAAGAACATTGGTTCCTCCTGCTTTCTGTGTTGGCTCTCCAACCTGCTGATAAACATCTTTGTACCAATCCATATCGAGGCTCGTCAGTATATCCACAATTCTACACAGAGACGAGATTATGGACTGTGCTCTTCTAAAAGTCCTGGAGCATCGATTGCTGCAAAATACACAATTCTTTTGACATTCCCTGATGTGGTGTTCATGGGACTCATGATTGGGGCCAGCATCTACATGGTACTTCTCCTACACAGACACCACCAGAGAGTGAAGCATATTCACACCCTCAGCAACTCCCACAGAGTCTCAACTGAGGCAAAAGCCATTCATACCATCTTGCTTCTAGCAAGTACTTTCATTTTGTTTTACTTCATCAATTCTATCCTTACAATTTATAACATTGTTTTCTTCAAATCTCGCCTCTGGTTGCAGCATACTACCACGTTTCTGGCAGCTTGTTATCCCACCCTCAGCCCCCTGATACTGATACTTCGAGATCCCCGGACACCAGGTTTCTGCTCTTACATGGTGAAAAAAGGGACCAACAAGTAATGTGGTGGTTCAGGTGCCTGGATCCCACATGGTTGGCCACGTGGTTTGAGTCCCAGACTGACAGCTTGAAAAACACACTGGGTGCGTGTGTGAGCGTGCCCAAATTCCGAGAGGAGAACAGAGGAGAAGGGATTGAGGCATCACATCCCTGGGAGAGTGATTTCTCACTTTCTCTCTCCTGGCAAGCACATGTGCCCTATAGCAAACAAGCAAATCAAAAAGATGGTGGAAAGAAAAATCACAATTACTGATAGTCCTATTCACAAGTCTCACATTTCCTCGAAGGATCTGGTTATTTACATGACACATATATCTAGATATTGATGATAAAAAGATTTGTGTGACATTGACTTAGCCATGTAGAGGCTTCCAGCTTCACTCAAATGGCAGACGTACGACCAAATAAATGTAATACTGTATGTGACCATTCTCACGATGCTTTCTGATTGTACTTTTCCTTTGAAATAGTTGATGGATACATGCAGGTTGAGTTGAAATAACTTGGGAACACATTAGATATTTTAAAGGTTCATTAGGGCAACTATGAAATTGGATGCAGGATTGAATATTGATAAATAGTAATGGCTTTGTGTACTCACTACAACTGTTGGGTTGTCGGAAAAGTCATGATGCATTTTTGCATAGTAAAACATAGAAAAATATGTCATGACTTTCCTGATGAACCAATATAATCCATGAGAAGCCATTTACTCATTATAATAAGACTTAGAGTATTTACCAGTAAAATTAATAAATCGTATCTTATGAGACTGTGGGTGCAAAAATGAATGATGTGACCAGGCAGGACTTCCTAATAAGCAGAGTGAGGGCCTCTGTAAACTTTTTCTTCTGTAAAAGCAACATAAATACTGGCAAAATGATCTAATCCAAGCCAAATTTTTCATAATTCAAGAAATCAACCGAAGACTGAAAATAATCTGAACAGTATTTATTCAAGAAACAGTTTTGGGACCAGCAGTTAGCATAATGGCTATGTCTCTGGACTCCCATGTAGCGACCACGGTTCGCATCCCGGACCCAGTGGCTTGAAACTCACGCCGGGCGTGTGTGCGTGCGTGCCCAGGATCCCAAGAAGAGAATGGAGGAGAAGGGAGTGTGCATGGCTAAACCCCCTGGGGGATGATTTCTCATTTTCTCTCTCTGTCTTTCTGGTGAGCACATTCGCCCTATAGCAAAACCCTCTCCAAAAAAAAAAAAAAAGAATTATTTTATTAATTTTGTTTATTATCATTACTTTAAAAAAATTTTGACCAGATAGAGAGAGAGAGAAAGAGAGAGAGAAAGCAAGCTGCCAGGTCTGGGACTTAAACCATGGTTGCCACGTAGGAGCGCTTTAACCGTCACACCACCTGCCGGCCTCTCCAGAAAGGTTTTGAACCTCAGTGGAAACAGTGAGGTTTGAGGATTTTCTTGTATGGATATGTACATGCACGAGAGGGTGTGTGCTCTTAGAGAGACAGAGAGGAAATGAGGGACACTTGCGAACTGAGCACTGAAGGAGTGTCTTACCACGCACACGATATCCTCAGCAAAGAGGAAATACTGACTGAATTAAGGCAATTAAGGAAAGTGTGGTCGTTATTAACTAACGAGGCAGAGTCTTCAGGGACTGCACACTACAGAGAGGGGGACTATTGAATTGGTCCAGGAAAGCCACTAAACAAACTGCAACAACAACAACAACAAACTCTGGGGAGAGAGGCATATGGTTTCCAAAGTAGCAATACTATATTTCTAAAATATCTAGCTTTAGGCCAACCAAGTCATATGGTGGTTAAGGCAGCTGGATCCACATGGCTAACGGCATGGTTCGAGTCCTGCACCTAGTGGTTTGAAAAATATGCTGAGCATGAGTGTGTGCTCAAAATACCCAAAGAACGGAGGAGAAAGGATTGCAGTGTGGCCATCCTCCCAGACGGTGATTCCTCACCCCACCCCACCCCCCGCCCCCGCGTCTCTTGGCAAGCTCATAGGCCTTATAGCAAAAACTATAAATAAATATTTAATAAATAAATAAAATAAAAATATTTAGCTTAAAGAAAATATGTGATAATCAGAAAAATATGCCCCATGCAGCATAGAAAAAAAGGGAGTCAATAGACACTTTCCCCGAGGGGCCCCTATTTCAAACTTAACACACAGAGACTTTGAATTGGCTATTATAAATATGTTTAAGGAACTAAAATAAGCCATCTATAAGGAGTTAAAGGAAAGTAAAGCAACTATGGAGTAGCAGAAAAAGAGACAAATAATTAAAACCGTTTTACTAGTAGGACTCAACAGCAGATTTGAACTAGAAGAAGAAAAAATAAGCAAACATGAAGATAATGCCACAGAGATTATTCAGTCTGAGGAACAGAAAAAAATAAAAAAGAGGAAAAAAAAGTGAACCGGCCTTCAGAAATCTAGAGTACACCCTCAAGTATGCAGACATGTGCACAACAGACCCACGTGAAGAGAGAGGACAAAGGGCACAAGGGATATTGGAAGAAATAATGGCCCCAAACTTGCCATATTCGAAAAAAAAACAATTAATCTACATACCCAAGAACCTCAATTCCAAATAGCATCAACTTCTTACCTTCCCCACAGGCTTTCATCCTAGGAAACAAAATAGAAGCCATAGTTCTTCCCAGAGATGAATACAGAATAGGTTCTCACCAGATGAGCACTAAGAACACTTTTTTAAAAAGAATTTTATATATATATGTATATCAGAGAGGGACAGAGAGAGAGAGGGAGAGAGAGAGAAAATGAGAAAGCAAGCTGCCAGGTCTGGGACTTGAACCACGGCTGGCCACGTGGGAGTCCAGCGCCCTTATCCACTATGCCACCTGCTGGCCCTGCACTAAGAACATTTCTGCCAATAATAATTAATAGACCGAACCTCTAGTTACTTCTTCAACTTCCTGTTACCTAGAAGATAAGCAACTGAAGAATCAATTACATATTAGCCAGTCAGTCACAAGTCATTCTCTTTAAATTTTTTATTATAGAAAAATTCAGACATTTATCAAAACCAAAAGAATAGTACAGTACACCTTATGTACTTCATATAGATTCAATTAATGTTAAAAATCTGATGATATTTGCTTTACCTACTTATATATATATTCTACTGTTATTTATCTGCCCATCTCAGTCTTCTACCCATTGTGTTTCTTTTGACTGAATGATGTGAAGGTTAGTGGTAGACATCATAACCTTTTACCCCCAAATATCTCAGCTTGAATCCTACAAAAGTAAAGATATTGTCCTACAAACTGCAACACTTTCATGATGTCAATCTTTTTTTTAAGAATTATTTTATTTAACTTTATTTGTTTTTAAATTGACAAGAGAGGGAGAGAGAGAGAGAGAGAGAGAGAGCAAGCAAGCCACCAGATTCAGGACTCAAATCGCTGTCAGCCATGTGGGAATCCAGCATCCTTAACCACCATGCCACCTGCTAGCCCCAGTGTCAGTCTTTTTATTTTATTTTTGCTACAGGGTGCATGTGCTAACGAGAGAGAGATAGAGAGAGAGAGAGAGAGGGAAAGTGAGAAAGCACCCCTCATGGGGCATGACCATGCTGCAATTCCTTCTCCTCCATTCTCCGCTCTAGATTTTGAGCACACATACACAGGAACCTGGTGTGTTTTGGGCCACCAGGTCCAAGACTCAAATTGTGTTGTTTGCTATGTGAGATTCAGCCACCCTACCTACCATGCCACCTGGTTGGCCCTGAGATATCAATTTTTTGGAAGTGTATTTAGGAAAGAAGGAGGCTCAGACACTGGAGAACACCAGCAAGCTGAAAAAGAGACATGTGGTTTCACTGAAAGTTTCAAGCAAAAGAGCCAGTGAAATTTTCTGAATACAGGAAGCTCACAAAGCCCACCATAGGAAGTATCAACAAAACCTCCACTATCTTTAAGATCATAGGGCCAAATTAAAAACTAGGCTTTACTGTATAAACACCCCACATGGTCACCAGCTCTTGGTGCTGGAACTATTTTCCTCTAGATTGGTCAAATTGAGGACTGAAATTCTCTAATACCTATGTAAAAAAGAATAATATAGTCCTAATCACAGCAGGTAAAAGCAAATGAATGAACATGGTAAATCTTAAGATAATGCCCTTTTCACATGGGCTTTCTGCCTCTTGGATCCTGGTACTAGTATTTGGCGGTGGCCAAACGTGGTCCTCTCTATTGAGAAGTTTGAGTTATTGAGTTCCATCAAGAATCCATAATTGCTGAGTTGACCACTGAAGACCCAAATGGTAAAGGTTTAGAAAAAGTAAATAAGGGATGAGGAATAAAACTTTTTTGAATAGAGCCATTCATCCTACCTGATGGCCTGCTGTGCAAAGATAGGGTCTATCAATCTATATATTAAAACATTCATGTTATAAAAAACACCAATGCAGAAGAGTGTACACACACACACACACACACACACACACACACATATATATATGTATATATATATTTTGAGGCTGAAGAGTATATAATTTTTGAGAGAGAGATTTTTGCTATAGGGCACATGCATTCACCAGATAGACAGAAAACAAGAAATCACTCCCCAGGGGGGATGGCTGTGTCACAATCCCTTCTCCTCCATTCTCTTCTTGGGGTTTTGAGCATGCACACACACGCTCCTGGTGTGAGTTTTGAGCCTCTAGGTCCGGGACTTGAACCACGGTTGTCCATGTGGGAGTCCAGTTACATAACCATTACTCCATCTGCTGGTCCCAAGACAGAAGAGTATATTAAATACAGTCTCTCTCTCTCTCTCTCTCTCTCTCTCTCTCTCACACACACACACACACACATGCACACACAAAATAGTTTAACATATAATGGGAACACGTATATGTGGACAACTATGTAATACCAACCATCAAGTAAGGAAGCATCCCACAAACCCTATTTATGGCTTCATAGTTAACATACCACTATCACTTTTTAAAAAAAGAATTCATTTATTTTATTTACTTTCTTTAAGACTTATTTTATTTTATTCGTTGTCATTATTTTACTTTCTAAAAAATTTTATTGAAGTTGACCAGAGAGAGACAGAGAGAGAGAAGGAAAGTGAGAAAGCAAACTGCCAGATCTGGGACTCAAACCAGGGTCAGCCATGTGGGAGTCCAACCACCTTAAACTCCACACCACCTGCCAGCCCCAAGAATTACTTTATTTAAATTTTTAAAAAATGTATTATTCTTTAAAAAAATTTGCTATAGGGCATGTGTGTTCACTAGAGAAAGAGAGAGTGAAAAGTGAGAAAGCAAGGTGCCAGATCTGAGATTCAAAATAAAACCGCAGTTGGCCATGTGAAAGTCCAGAACCCCAACCACCATGCCACCTGCTGGCCCCCCACTGTCACCTTCTATGGCTAAGATCCCTACACAAAGACAGATCCAGAGCACTCTTCCTGACAAAACTTCTCCGAATTACCCCTTTGCCAGAGGCATTCTCAGATTTTGCCCTTCCCTGTCACCTCAACCTTGTCCAAGAAATGTAGTCTTTGCTGTGCAGACTTCAAAACTCCTCCAAAACCAACAAGACTTCAAAAGGGCTTCAAGACCAAATAAGCACACCATTGTCAGCTAAGGTTTGACCTACAGATTGGTTTATGCTGGCTCAAGGTTCATTAAAGATAAATGGGATTACATGATTAAGCATGAACAATGCTGCTTACAGCTTTTGGGTAGGTGTAAGTGCTGACAGGCCTTAGGTAAACACAGTGAAGGATGAGTTGCAATTGCAGAGGCTGTTAGCCTAAGTTACGGCCACCTGTTGCTGGCACTTCTTTCAAGATGACTGTTTTCTGTAACTTTTTCAAAAAGAAACCTCCAGAGACCCAGCGGTTTAGGAACAAAGACCTGAGACTTTATTTCATCTGTGTTTCTACCCGGTCTGCACAATTGCTGGAGAGGCTAGACTGTCAAAACAGTGAGTAGAAGCCGGTTATACAATAGGATGATTGGACTTTGGGGGGTGGATGTTCACTGCACTCGAGTTCAAAGCTAGGATTTGGTTACTAAGGACTGTCTGGAACCCACCACCGTAGGGATGAGCGATGTGGAATGTAGTGGTTGATATGTGAGAGGGTATTCGTTGGGGCTAAAGGCTGGGTTTTGGAATGTTTGGAGGAATATGTTAGATACGTATAGGGAGAGCCTGGATCTGAGCAACATAATAGTGACCTTTAAACACATGCAGAAACACGGTTCTTTGCCGCAAGGCTAGTGAAGGCATTAACAATAAATATGTGTTCTGCCTCTAAGTCGAGACTGCAAGGTGGTGTCAGTTAAAAAAACCTGTGTGTTAGCCAGAAAAGGCCCGAAAAGATCAGAAAACACTCGTATAAGACTACAAGGTGCCAGAAGTTTCACATCTTCAGCCAATTGACATCTAAAAACAACCGGCTTTACATTCCGCTTCCCCTTCCCTCACTTTTTGCCCTATAAAAAAATAAACCTAAAAACAGCTCAGGGCCACAGCTGCCTCCATCAAAAAAGTCTAGACCACCCAACCCTTGCTTTCCTCTACTTGTGTGTCTATGTGTGTTTATTTCCATGTTTATTTCTAATCCACAGCCGCTTCCACACACAAAAAAGTGTCCAGCTGTGCAGATCCTGACAAGAGGCACCCAACTGGGGCCTGAGTGCAGGAAAACAGCAAAGGATCAGGCAAGGGGACACTCCCGAGTTCAGCCAGAGGCAACAGACGAAGGTAAGGAAGAAATAGAGTAAAATAAGGAAACTAACAGAGTAAGAGCATGAATTAAATTACAGTCGGATGTAAAACACGGAGACGCAATTGTCTAAAGAGATATGCATGTCCAAATTTTGTCTTATATGTTTTTATTTATTTATTTATTTATTTATTTATTTATTTATTGGAGAGGTTTTCGCTA